CTCCTTTGTGAGCTCTCTTACGTGTAACAAAGGCCGCCTTTTTGTGAAAGGCTTTCCCACAATTATTATATTCAAGAATCTTCTTCAAAACAGAATTCTTCTGATGTTGTATAAACTCCTCATTATGTCTGTGGGATTTCTTTTGATCATTTTCACAGGGCTTGTTCCCTGGGTGAGTCTTCTCATGTATCGTATCAAGGAATCCACATCCATTGAGATCATTAGACTTTTTTTCTTATCTGGTTTCTATTAATCATAATTAATTCTGAAACACTTTCCAAGCTTGTTCCAGAGGAGTCACATTTATGGGATATTTTCCTTGAGGGCACTGGATTTGTGGCCATACTAAATGCTTCTCTCAACATCTTGCCTCTCTCCATAGTCAATATTCTGCTGTTGAAGAATAAAGCTTGCCTCAAGTATTTATCTACCTTTTCTTGGCTTCTTTCTTTCATGTTATTGGCTTTCTGGCATTCTAGAAATATGAAAAATTGATACACATTATAAATCTTCACACATTTCTTGAGATACGGCATGTGCACAAGTGGACTATGTAGAGTTGATTCTTAAGTTTTTAGACATAGTCTTCTGGGATGAAAGAAGTCCTGAGCAAATATTTATTCTACTCTTTTGGTTTGGTAGCATGATAACAAAGAAAAAAAACACATTGTGGTAGGAAAAGTAGAAAGAGGAGAGAAAGCTGAAAATTAATACAAGTGACTATGGTTTGTTATGAATATGCTGTCAGAATGGACAGAGAGGCTGAGCCAGCATGGTGGCATCCTTGTAACACAATCTGTGCTGCAAAAGGGAAGGTGGCTGTGGCGCTGGTTCCTTGGGGTCACAGGTCAGCATGCTGAGAACGGCGTGGAGCGCGCTGAGGTCGCTTCAGACCCAGGCAGTGGCCCAGGCTCCAGTCCGTGGGCTGCCGGGCGGTGCGCGCACCAGGCCTCCCCGCCACCAGTGGGGCCTTCCCTCCCCTCCTGGGGGTGTCACCCTCCTGGCTGCTTGTGGATATGCCACCCAGAAACCAGTCCAGCCCAGCCAAGAAGATGACCCACCCACCCCCTTCCGCAACTGCTCAAAGACTACCAGAACATTCCTGGAACTGAGAAGTTTGATGACGTTGTAAGAAGACTCTTGTCTTTGGAAATGGCCAACCAGAAGGCGAAACTAAAAGTCAAGCAAGATCAGTTGATGAAGAAGATTGTGGCAAACCCTGAGAGCAGCAGCTTCCTGGAGGCTCGAATTGTCGCCTTGACCATCAAGATCTGCAATTACGAAGCACACACGCGGAGCCACCGAAAGGACGAGACGCGCAAGCGCTGTCTGCTGATGAGCATCCACCAGAGGAGCAAGATACTCACAAGACCGACCTCCATAAGACCAACCATGTGCCTTTGAGAAGGTATGCAAGGACCTGGGGACGGAATACACCTTTCCCTCTCCGTTCCACTGGAAAGCCCACCACTGCTGGGCAACCAAGAAGGCCCTGTGCATTCGGGTTTTCCGGGAAGTACAAAGGCTGAAGAAGCAAAAAAGGGCCTTAAAACCTGCAGCAGCGGCAGCCCGGAAGGCCAGAAGAGCCCAGAAAGCCCTTCCAAAGCTGGACCAGAGGCAATCAAAGAAAACCAATAAATCATATTAGAGTTGTGTCAAAAAGAATGGCTAGAGGGCTTGAAATAAGACATAAGGAATGGTGAACTGAGCAAAAAGGATGGTCAGGAAAACAAGGAGGGAGGATATTCAGAGGACGGGCAAAGACAAGGGATAGTGAGGAGGGAGACAAAAGAGACTGGTGGCGGGGGGGGGGGGGGAAGAAGGAAGTACCAGAGCCCAGATCAGGTTTACAGCAGGTCAGAGACTAGAGCCATATCCTCCCCACGCCCATATTTTAACACCTGCAGCGGAATCCTTACTCCATTCTCCATGTTCCCAATCTCTTCCTCCTCTTTCCCATTCTGTACACCAACTCCCAATTAAACCTATGAAATTACTAAGTTCCTTGGGTCTAAAGGTCAGTCTTATAGTTCATCCCCATCTCTTCACAGAGCTGTGATATGGTGAAACAACGTCCAAAGAGAGTGTTAAAGCATAGGCGAGAACCAGCCATTCACCTCTGCATTCTGGTTGGTGGGGCTTCATTTGATTCTATCAGAATTGGTCACCAGTTATCTGTCCTGACTGACACCTCTACTTTTCCCTCTTTCGATCTGCTGATTTACTTTGCCAACCCATTGTGTCCTGTCACAATACTAATTTTTAATTCCACCTTTATATCATGTTTTCTTCCTCTCTGATTTCTCTTTTCTGTGAAAACTCAAGCAGCTGGCTATCAACTTGGTCCAAGGACCTTTATTAATCTTTGTCTTAAAAATTTTTTTTAGCTATGGGTGATTATTATTATCCTCTGCTATTATCATTTTATGCAATAAGATCCACGGTATGCCTAAAAATATATGACTTTTCCGTAGCAGATAAAACAAATAGAAGCCAATACGTGAGCAAGGAAAATTTGATATTGGATTTTTATACCTAGAGTTTACGCTAGGTTCTTACACCCAAAATCACAATACAATTTTGAGTGACCAGTCCAGTCCTGTCAGATCATATTGGACCAGGGCATTTAATTCTGTGAACTGGAAATCTCTAGATACAAACCCACTCTCGTGTTCTTACTCGGGTAGCACAGTCTATCCTTCGCTCTACTCAGAACCTATACATCCTTCAGGGCAATGCTACCATCCAATTGCTTTTTTAAACAAGAATCTCATCACTTCAAGTTCCATTTACGGCAAGGTTTGCAAGTAAGTACTATCTGCACAATGTGTTCTGACACTATTTTCCACGGCTGGTTTGTATGGTGTTCTTTTCTACCTCTACTTCCGTGACCAAGCCTGATTTCGGTTGCTTTCAGTTTGGGATTTCAGCCGCCTCCAACCACTAATGAAAATGGGGCTGACATGTTGCTCTTGTTTTCCTTGTGGCCTTTGAATAACTTGCAGGAAAAGAGGAGGCGATTCTGACTTCACGCATCCACCTGCAATGCTGGAATTCACTCCTTCCTTCTCAAAACCCTTTGTTCATGTGGCTTCTGGGACACCACTGTCTTCTGGTTCTCTTCCCTCCATACTGGGTGCTTCTCAGTCTCCCTTGCTAGAGCCGCGTGCCTTCCTGACCTCCAAACGTAGTGCTTACAGGTGCAGTCCTTGACCCCCTCTCTAATGTCTCACTTGGAGTACAAGTCAGTCTTACGAGGACCAGAAAGCTTTGCTCCTGCTGACTCTCTGACATGAGCTGAGACTTTCTTCTGACCCCGCTCTGATCCCACTGACTGCTTGCTGTTCCCTGATCACACCCAGGAGACTCGCATCTCAGAGGCTCTTGTACCTGCTGCTCCCTCAATCTGGAAATCTCTCAGATAACCTGTGGCTTACTCTATCCTGTTTGAAACTGTATTCTACTGTTCCTGACTAATGTCCACCTTTGCAAAGAGGCCTTCCCCGACTTCCTTTCCAGAACAGCACTCCATGTCAGTCCCAATGCCCTTCATCTGATTTCAGTTTTTCATACTGCTGATCACTACCAGACATATATATATATGTGTATATATATATACATATAAATGTATATATGTATACATGTAAATATGTATATATACGTATATGTGTGTATATATACATATATATGCATATACATACATTTTTTGCTAATTTTTTTAGCAATACACATTTTTGCTAATTATAATATATACAATTACAATACAATATACAATATAAAATTTTTTGCTAATATTTTTAGCAATATACATTTTTGCTAATTGTAATATATACAATTTTTGCTAATTGCCAATTTTTTGTATATATATACATATATATACACATATATACATATATGGATATATATGTGTATATATATACAAAAAATTGGCAATTAGCAAAAAATATATATATACATATATATGCATATACACACACACATATATATGCCTATATATACATATATATGTATATATATATTTTTTGCTAATTGCCAATTTTTGGTAGACATATACATATATATGCATATATATACACACATATATATACACATATATGTATATGTATATACACATATATGCATATATATACACACATATATACACATATATGTATATGTATATACACATACACATATGTATATGTATATATACACATATATGTGTATATGTGTGTGTGTATATATATATGTATATATATATATTTTGCTAATTGCCAATTTTTTGCTAAATTTGCCAATTTGCTAATTGGGTCTACTGATAGGAGTAGAGACTTTGTATCCCCTCTGCTTGGAGTGTGACTGGTGCACAGCAGGTGCTTAATAAATATTTGTTGAGGGGCGCCTGGGTGGCTCAGTTAAGCATCTGACTCTTGATTTTGGCTCAGGTCATGATCTCATGGTTCGTGAGATCAAGCCCCACATTGGGCCATGTGCTGACAGTGTGGAGCCTGCTTGGGATTCCCTCTCTCTCCCAGCGTCAGAATAAATAAATAAACATGAAAACAAATGAATATCTGTTGAACATAAGAGTGCACCAACAACTGTATATTTACAGAGTGTTTGGCACAGAAGGGAAGGTGAATGGCCATTGCTGAACAGAAAGACAGGGAAATGAAGGTCTCGGGTGAGGAAGGCAGCAATTGGGTTCTACGAAAACCCAGCCAATCTCTCTGTGTGTAAAAGTCAAACAGAACACGAAGAGCATTTACTCATGAGAGTGCTATTTGGAGGTTTGGTATCTAAGGCATGGTGATCATCTGTCTTTAGTCACTTCTAGAAGCCTATAAAAGAAATTTCTGGGGCACCTGGGTGGTTCAGTTGGCTAAGTGTCCAACTCTTGATTTCAGCTCAGGTCATGATCTCACGGTTGGCAGGTTTGAGCCCCACATCGGGCTCTGTGCTGACAGTATGGAGCCTGCTTGGGATTCTCTCTCTCCCCTCTCTCCCCGCCCCTACCCCGCTTGCTCTCTCTCTCAAAAGAAACATATCAACTTAAAAAAATAAAAGAGATTTCTAAAACATTTTGAAAAATACCCTGAACTGGCCATTTGGGATCCAATGTCCACCAGCTGCCTTCTGTCTACCTTCGTTAACTCACCTGGGGGGCTCTGACTTGGGAGTTCCCTCCTTGGTACCCATGGCTCTCCTCCTTGCTCCAACTTGAATATCAGCTCAGGTCTGGTGACACAGCGCCCTGTTGTGGGAAATGACATGGGGCTCGGCAAAGTTGCTGAAGGTTCAGGGCCTTGGAAGAATCAGAAGAGAGAAGGTTTAGAAGCTGTACGATGACAGAGCCTTCATCAAAGGAGACCTCTGCACCAGGGAGGCGAGGATACAACATACTTTCAAGTCCCGAAAAGGGTCTTTAAATCCCACATCTCAAGTCTGATACTCGCTACATCCTACAATGATTTGGTTCCTAAGATAGGAAATGGATGCTGTTGGTAGTTGAGCGGGGAGCTGTGCTTACCCAGGGACACCAGGTGCCCGTAGTTCTCCAGTATCACATCCCTGCACAGGAGCCTCTGGGCCGGGTCCAGCAGCCGCCACTCCTTCAGGGTGAAGTCCACAGATACATCTTTGAACAACACTGATCCCTGTAACAGACCAATCCTGCTCTCTGTGAAGTGCTCAAGACCAGACAACGTGGGAAATACGCATGGGAATGAATTCCTACTGTGTTCAATGTTAAGAATTTACCAGAAAACATTACAAAGGATGTCAGCCATTAACCTTCCTTCATGCTATACTTTGTGGGAGAAAGACATCATAATAGAAATACTGTCTCCCGGGTCGCCTGGGTGGCGCAGTCGGTTAAGCGTCCGACTTCAGCCAGGTCACGATCTCGCGGTCTGTGAGTTCGAGCCCCGCGTCAGGCTCTGGGCTGATGGCTCAGAGCCTGGAGCCTGTTTCCGATTCTGTGTCTCCCTCTCTCTCTCTGCCCCTCCCCATTCATGCTCTGTCTCTCTCTGTCCCAAAAATAAATAAACGTTGAAAAAAAAATTAAAAAAAAAAAAAAGAAATACTGTCTCCCATTTACTTATTAATTCATAAAATGATAAAAATGGGAGTCCCTTTATGTGCCTAGAACTGTTCTAGTTGTAGAGGATGGTAAGACAAAGGAGACACTGGTCCCTTTTTTAAGGTGTTTATAGACCATCGAGGAGACTTTCTACAAAACACATACATGCACAATAATAAATTATGGGGGCCGCGAAAAAATGTGTATATAAGGTGGAGTGAAATCACAAAGGGAGGGGTGTTCAATCTCCTTGTTTTCTCAGGTTATGTTCATCAGGGAGATCAATATTGGATTGCACACCAATCAGTGTGAGTTTCGTGTGGACGTGGGCAACAGCTAAGCAAAGGTGGAGAAACGTTAAAAACACATTAAATTAAGAGAGCTGTAAACAGTGCAGTGTGACAGGATAAGGCTGGGGGCTTTGATGAGACTCAGAGCAGTAGAGGTACTTAGTGGTCAGACACAGAGAAATTTTGGACTTTCTCCTGGAGACCACTGGCCTCCAGGTATTTATCAACCCTGTCAGTAAGAGTTCCTAAGCCTCCCTCGGTGCATTAACTTGTAAATGATGTACCTCTACGACTCTCCAGCTACCCACCAAAGGGAAAGCTTCCTTTCTTAATTTTTGTAGGCACGAAAGACACACAAAAGGGTATTCTAATACTTTCTTTGCATACCATACACTACTTGATTGTCTCACGCAGTTTTCCGGGATGGACACCTGGCTTTGGGGATGACTTCCGTGGACAATGGGGATATATACATAAGTAACATGACCAGATTCATATTTGGAAAGCAACACCCTAGGAGCAGAGCGGGGGAGTGTGTGAAAGCAGCGGTTTCTCAAGCGACATGTTTTTGCCTGCTGGGGGGGGCACCGGCAATGTCTGGAGACCCTTGTCGTTGTCCCAGCTGAGGAAAAGGTGCTTCTGGTATATAGTGGGGGGAGTCCAGGGATGCTGTGGAATGTTCTGTGATGCCCAGGACAGCCTCTACAACAAAGGATTATCTGGCCCCAAATACTGATAGCGTTGAGGTTGAGAAAGCTTATTTTAAAGGGAAAAGAGAAGATTTTAATGTAGTAACAGGGGCATTTAAAAGTGCAGCAGATTCTGGGGTGCCTGGGTGGCTCGGCGGGTTAAGCGTCTAGCTTCGGCCCAGGTCATGAACTCGAAGTTCGTGGGGTTCAAGCCCTACGTCAGGCTCTGTGTTGTGCTGACTACTCAGAGCCTGGAGCCTGCTTTGGATTCTGTGTCTCCCTCTCTCTCTGCCCCTCCCCCACTGGCACTCTGTCTCTCTCTCTCAAAAATAAAGATTAGAGGGGCGCCTGGGTGGCGCAGTCGGTTAAGCGTCCGACTCCAGCCAGGTCACGATCTCGCGTCCCGTGAGTTCGAGCCCCGCGTCAGGCTCTGGGCTGATGGCTCAGAGCCTGGAGCCTGTTTCCGATTCTGTGTCTCCCTCTCTCTCTGCCCCTCCCCCGTTCATGCTCTGTCTCTCTCTGTCCCAAAAATAAATAAACGTTGAAAAAAAAATTTTAAATAAAAAAAATAAAAAATAAATAAAGATTAGAAAAATGAAAAAAAAGATATTAAAAAAAAAAAAAAGGTGCGGCGGAGGGGCACCTGGGTGGCTCAGTCTGTTAAGTGTCCAACTTCAGCTCAGGTTATGATCTCACTGCGCGTGAGTTTGAGCCCCACGTGGGGCTCTGTGCTGACAGCGTGGAGCCTGGAGCCCGTTTCTCCTTCTGTGCCTCCCTCTCTCTCTGCCCCTCCCCCACTCATGCTCGGTCTCTGTCTCTCAAAAATACATAAAAGTGAAAAAAAATTAATAATAAAAAAAAAGTACAGCAGATTCTAAATGGAATTAATCAGCGATTGGTTAGGGAAAGCAGGGAAATGGAACACTACTTACTCCGAGGTTATATCCAAGACCAGCTGGGTCGATGCTGGTGGCATATACGAAACTAACCACTCAGGAGAGAGACAGAGAGTGGGGTAGATCTTGGACATGTTCTGTGTAAGGCGTCTGTGACACATACGGGTGGAGAGGTCGGGTTGGCAGTTGAAGTAGGCTCCGCACTGCCAGCATGGAGCCCGACGCGGGGCTCGAACCCACAAAACGTGAGATCATGACCCGAGCCAAAGGAATCAAGAGTCAGACGCTTCACCAACTGAGCCCCCCAGGTGCCCAGTATCTGCAGCATCTAGAGCAGAGGAGGTCCACAGTGGTGCTCACTAAACAGCCATCAAATGAATGAAGCCACCGGCGGTGACAATTTCAAGAATAAGTGATGCTTTCAATACCACAAGATGGGCTGGACTCATCTCCAGATTTCTCTCTTCTGCCTCCAAAACCATAGCAGGGAGAGACATAAAAACACCAATACATTATCAGGGCAGAGGAGTACAGGGAAGGGGGCTGTCGGCAAGTGACAAATTCTGACTGGCTTCTGTAAGATACAGAGTAGGAGGCACGTACTGGAGGCGGTGTGCTCAACCCCCGAATACAAACACGGAATGTGCAAGAGTCTTCAGTTCTGTCCAGAGCCAGGCGGGATCTCCCAACTCAGAACCGGCCACAGCAGGACGTGGGCTCCGGGCTGAAGAACCAGGAGAGTGAGTAGGGGCTTTGAGAAAAGACAGCCACACTTCTGGGTTGTTCTTACACCCCGAGGGGTTGCCTAAGGGTTGACGCTCAGGATTGTGTTTCCTGTAAAAGGTAGGAGAACCACCTCCAGGAGTCTGCATGAACTTTGCAACCCAAGAGGGAAGCAAGTACTATGCGGAGGGCCCTGAACTGGCCACAGCCTTTCTTTTAAGGCAACTCTAGGGAAACAGACCAACGTGCTCTGCCATCAGGTAAGGCAGTGCCGGCTTTGGCAGGGGAAGGGAGGTTCCCCTCGAGCTCTGTCCCCCTCTATTGAGCCTACAGAGAGGCCTGTCTATACACATCTCCCAACAATCCACATGAAAGGCCCCCAAGTCCGCCCTTTCATTCAAGGGAAAAGCTCGCCAAAGACACAGACTCCTGTGTTGCCGAGTGAACACACATCAGCTGCCTGGATCTAATGAGGTTTTTGCCTTTCCATTTACACAGAAAACTAAAAAGGGCCCAGATGCGGGAGTAAAAACAACCATCGGAAAAATAAGCATTCACAAGTAAAACTGCTTAATAACAAATTATTTATTTTCTGTAAATAGAAACCAACATCTTAAAAAATAAGCACCAAGATGAATAGATTGAAGCATAGGGAAACAAAATCAATTTAGATATTGAAGACAAATATTTTTAAGACTTCAAATTGGTGTCCCTAGATTGATGTAAGAGCCTTACTTCCATAAAATGAGAAAAGTTGATCGCTTGCATTTCTATACACCAATAATCGAGCAGCAGAAAGAGAAATCAAGGAATACCTAGGAATAAACCTAACCAAACAGGTGAAAAAATCTATACATTGAAAATGATAGAAAGCTTATGAAAGAAATTGGAGAAGGCCCCAAAAGGCGGAAAAAACATTCCATGCTCATGGATAGGAAGAACAAATATTGTTAAAATGTCGATACTGCCCAAAGCCATCTACATATTCAATGCAATCCCATCAAAATAACACCAGCATTCTTCACAGAGCTAGAACAAGCAATCCTAAACTTTGTATGGAACCAGAAAAGACCCCGAATAGCCAAAGGAATCTTGGTAAAGAAAACCAAAGCGGGAAGCATCACAATCCCGGACTTCAAGCTGTATTACAAAGCTGTAATCATCAAGACAGTATGGTATTGGCACAAAACAGACACTCAGATCAATGGAACAGAATAGAGAACCCAGAAATGGACCCACAAGCGTATGGCCAACTAATCTTTGACAAAGAAGGAAAGAATATCCAATGGAATAAAGACGGTCTCTTCGGCAAATGGTGCTGGGAAAACTGGATAGAAACATGCAGAAAAATGAACCTGGACCACTTTCTTACACCATACACAAAAATAAACCCAAAATGGATGAAAGACCTAAACATGAGACAGGAAGCCATCAAAATCACAGAGAAGAAAGCAGGCAAAAACCTCTTTGACCTCAGCCCCAGCAACTTCTTACTCAACATGTCTCCGGAGGCAAGGGAAACAAAAGCAAAAATGAACTACCGGGACCTCATCAAGATAAAAAGCTTCTGCACAACGAAGGAAACAATCAGCAAAAGGCAACCGACAGAATGGGAGAAGATATTTGCAAACGACATATCAGATAAAGGGTTAGGATCCAAAATCTATAAAGAACTATCAAACTCAACACCCAAAAAACAAATAATCCAGTGAATAAAGGGGCCAAAGACATGAATAGACACTTCTCCAAAGAAGACATCCAGATGGCCAAACGACACATGAAAAAATGCTCAATATCACTCATCATCAGGGAAATACAAATCAAAACCACAGTGAGATACCACCTCACACTTGTCAGAATGGCTAACATTAACAAGCCAGGCAACAATAGGCATTGGCGAGGATGGGAAGAAAGAGGAACCCTTTTGTACTGCCAGTAGGGATGCAAACTGGTGCAGCCCCTCTGGAAAACAGTACGGAGGTTCATCAAAAAACCAAAAATAGATCAACCTTATGACCCAGCAGTTGCTACTAGGTGTTTATCCTAAGGATACAGGAGTGCTGTTTTGAAGGGGCACATGCACCCCAATGTTTATAGAAGCACTATTGGCAATAGCCAGAGTATGGAAAGAGCCCAAATGTCCACTGGCTGGTGAAGGGATAAGGAAGAAGTGATGTATATATACGATGGAATATTACTCAGCAATCAAAAAGAATGAAATCTTGCCATTTGCAACAACGTGGATGGAACTAGAGTGTATCATGCTAAGTGAAATAAGTCAGTCAGATAGACAAACATCATATGACTTCGCTCATAGGTGGAATTTAAGATACAAAACAGATGAACATAGGAGGAGGGAAGCAAAAATTGTATAAAAACAGAGAGGGAGACAAACCATAAGAGACTCTTAAATACTGAGAACAAACTTAGGGTTGCTGGAGGGGAGATGGGGGGTGGGCTAAATGGATGAGGGGCTTTAAGGAGGCCATTTGCTGGGATGAGCACTGGGTGTTATATGTAAGTGACGAATCACTAAATTCTATTTCTGAAATTATTATTACACTATATGTTAACTAACTTGAATTTAAATTTTAAAAAAATGAGAAAAGTGGACTATGGGCAAAAAAAAGGGGGGGACCCAGATAGTGAATATATCTTTTTTTTAAGATTTATTTATTTATTTATTTAGACAGAGACAGCATGAACAGGGGAGGAGCAGGGAGAGAGAGAGAGAGAGAGAGAGAGAGAGAGAGAGAATCCCAAGTAGGCTCTGCACGGTCAGCACAGAGCCCCACACAGGGCTCGAACTCATGAAACCATGAGATCATGACCTGGGCCGAAACCAAGAGTCAGACACTTACTTAACCGACTGAGCCACCCAGGCGCCTCCCCAGATAGTAAGTATTTTGGTGTCCACTTGGCGGGGGGAAAAGCCAACCCTAAAACTCTCTAAAGAAGGCTTGAAAACAAAATGGCATGGGTGACAAAAATGAGCTGATCTTTCAACGCACAGAACAAAAGCCCAGGAAAATGGAAAAGGTGACAGAAAAATAAAGGAGCCCAGACAGACCGCAGGGGAGAGGCGCCCACAGCCTCGCAGGAGGTCTGGGTGGCGAGAACGAAGAGGAGGAAGGGAGGGAACTAACCCCCAAACCACTGAAAGTGTCCGGGTGCACGCGGGTCTTCACGGGCAGGAACCATCCGGCCGGCAAGTGGGCATCCTGGCGAAAGAGCTCAAACCCCCCCGAGAAAGAAAAACTTGCAAGAAAGAACAGAATGGGTCGCCTGCACGGGCGTGAGGACCAAACTGGCACATGACTTCTCAGCCTGTCCAGACGCTGGGAGGTGAGGGAGACCCTGCTTTCCCAGAACACCCTGAAGGAGAAGGGAGTCCGAACCCCGGTTCTGTAGCCGGTCACTCACGTAACAGGGCGGAATAAAGGTACTTTCGCATATTCAGACTCAGCGGGAGTATCACCACACAGATGTGTGCAAAACACTCCAGAGCCTTCCATGAGGACTCAGCAGTCGGAGAAGGAAGACAACTACTGGGACAGTGTGGTGAACAGACAGAAGAAGAACAGACAGGAAGAACCGCTTCCTGATGAAGCCAGCGAAGTGAGGGAGACTTACCGACTGTGCAAGGGAAGAGGCAGGTGATTACCCAAAAGGAGGGGCGCCCGGGTGGCTCAGTCGGTTAAGCGACCGACTTCGGCTCGGGTCTTGATCTCATGGTTCATGGGTTCGAGCCTCGCATCAGGCTCTGTGCTGACAGCTCAGAGCCTGGAGCCTGCTTCGGATTCTGTGCCTCCCTCACTCACACTCTGTCTCTCTCTCTGAAAAATACGTGTAAAAAAAAATTTTTTTTAAAAAGATACTCAAAAAGAAACTTTAAAAAATATCTATAAAGTGTAAGTAGGCAAAATTTTCATCTTTGGACAAGGCTACACATTGTGGGTGTGAAGCCCAAGAATTCTTGAAACTTTGGGAGAGGGACGGCCACAGTGATTGACGGAGAAACTGAGGCAGGCTGGTCCCGTCCAGCAACAGGCCACCTGGAATATGGTGATAAAATCAGCCACTGAAAATAGAGACTGACTGGTCCTCTGGATGGGCTAGGACTGTCAGAGCTAAGGGCCAGCAAAGGGTACATCACACCCTCTTTCTACCGAAGTATCGTTCCCAGATTTAGTAAATAAAAACACAGGGCACCCAGTTAAACACCAAATAGATTTTTAGTATAAGTATATCCCATGCATACTTTACTTTAGTATAAGTGTGTCCCTTTACGTGCCCTGTGTCTTATCTGGCAATGCCATGCCTAAGAGATGTCCCATTCCAAGTTTTTGGACAGGGTGGGGTGGAAACAGATGGTATCTTCCTCCCTGGAATGGGTGGAAACCTTGCAGATTTGGGCTCTAGGACAAACTTGATCTATCTAGCCAAATTCCTTTTATTTATTTTTAGTAATCGCTACACCCAATGTGGGGCTTGAACTCACGACCCTGAGATCAAGAGGTGCATCTTCCACCAACTGAGTCAGCCAGCTGCCCCCTATCTGGCCAAATTTCTAATGATGTATCCTTAGAACCATACCAGCTACAGGCACTTAAATCTTTTATTTATACTTTCAGTAAAAAGGGCATAATAAATGTTTTTATGTTTAATGTTTTAATGTTGTTGTTGTAATTCCAAGAGCCAAGCCAGGTAAGGAATTTAATAGAGATTGGAATATTTTTTTTATTAATTTTTTTCCATGTTTATTTATTTATTCTGAAAGAGAGAATGTGTGAGCCTGGGAGGGGCAGAGAGAGAGGGAGAGAGAGAAAAACCTAAGCAGGCTCCACACTGTCAGTACAGAGCCCGATGTGGGGCATGAACTTATGAACCTGTGAGATCATGACCTGAGCTGAAACCAAGAGTTGGATGCTCAACTGACTGAGCCACCCTGATGTCCCAACAGTGACTGGAATATTATAAGCCATCCTAAATTGTAGATAACATTATAACTATTATAACTTCATCTCTTTATCTTCAAACTTGGGACCACAAAAATAACAAGAAAACATATACTAGAATTGCAATAATTATTGGGGCGCCTGGGTGGCTCAGTTGGTTAAGCATCCAACTCTTGATTTTGGCTCGGGTCATGATCTCATGGTTGTAGGATTGAGTCCTGCATCAGGCTCTGTGCTGACAGCGTGGAGCCTGCTTGGGATTCTCTCTCTCCTGTCTCTCTGCCCCTCCCCAACTCGCTCGCATGATCTCTCTCTCAAATCCCCATTAAAAAAGAAAGAAAGCACGGTTACTAAACACGTAAAATTAATTCTTAGATTTCTTTGAAAATTTTGAGTAATAAGTAAACGACTCACCTGGGATGTGTTCATTTTCTCCTGCTCCAGGAAAAGTTTCAAGAAGTGTGGGGGCAGAGCTGGAGGAAGCGGAAGCAGCAGAGAAATCACGAGAAAAGCGGTCGGTCCTGACAGTCCTCATAGCACTTGCCTAGAAATCCACACGTCATAGCTGGCAAACAGCCACGTGGTGGGAGAAAGTCTCTTACCCTTCAGAGGGGGCAGGTGTGCCGAGGGGACTCTCGTGACCCTGGTGTAACCTCGGGGAGCCAAGAGAAGCATACTTTTCACCGGGGAGAGTAAATATTTTTATCTTATTGGTTTCTTACAATTGGTTTCTTACAGCTTTCTTTGATTTATAACAGACAAATATAAAACCAGACAAAGACCGGGTTAAACAAATCTTAGCAAGGATGACAGCCGTGTCTCTGGCCATTATTAAACATGGTACATTCTGAAGTCTTTGCTGTCTGGGACCTCCTTTACAGTAATCTGGTCACAGAAAGTGGAAGGGAGAACACGTACATGTGTGTAACTGGGGCAGGGACAGATGAAACAGAATGATCATATGTTGATAATGGCTGAAGCTGTGACAAATATATGGGAGTCATTACACTATTTTCTTCCGTATGTCTTGAATATTTCCACCAGAAAAAGTGTAAAAAAGGACGCAGCAAACAACAAAAACCTGACAGAGATCTGCTCATTTACTCTTCTACTTGTATTTTCAACTCCTTCAAGTTAAAGAATTAATAGGAACCTCTGACAAGAGGGACAGGTGTGCTTCAAGGGAGTCCATTTTTTCTAAAAGGGATTTATTCTCCTTTGGTTTCAGTGTCTCCAAAGAATTTTTTTTTTTAAATGTGTATTTATTTAATGAGAGAGAGAGAGAGAGAGAGAGAGAGAGAGAGAGAGAGCATGCACGTGGGTGGGGAGGGGCCGAGAGGGAGAGAATCCCAAGCAGGTTCCATGCTCAGCAGGACATGGGGCTGGACCCCACAACTGTGAGTTCACGACTTGAGCCTAAATCAAGAGTTGGACGCTCAACTGACTGAGCCACCCAGGTGCCCCTCCAAAGGATTTTTTATTAAGAAACTAATTTTGCTTTAACTGAGACATAGTAGACAGGACGGGACTTGGGAGTCAGGGGGCCCCAATGCCCCTTTAGGTGCTGGGACTAACAAATAATGTAAACTGAGATTATAATAATATTGATGATACTGAAAATACTTGGGTCATGCTTCCTGTGTAACAGGCACTATTCTAAGTCCTTCACATATATTACCTCATTTATTCCTTAAAATAAAGCAGAATGTAGGTAGTGTTATTACTCCCAGTTTACAGATGAGGAAATTGAGGGAAAGAAGTGAAAGTAACAGGGTAGAGCCACGCTTTGAACCCTGGTAGTCTCCAGAAACCTTGAACTTAACCCTATGCTAATGACTCGCTCAGAGTTCATACTGTTCACTTCTAAAATGAGGCAGGATTATAGAACTCCTGAAGACCCCCTTTCTGTACTCCTACAAAGGCAGGAATGGGGGGGGTAGCATATCTCTAAATTCCAGATGAGGTGATGGCCAGGGTCTGTGGGCTGTGTAGATCCCAGAAGAGGGACTGGAGAATAAAATTGCGGGGAGGAGTCTCTGGGAGGAGTGGAGAGAGTGTCTCCCCCACCTTCTTCCCAGACCACAGCCTCACCAACCATCCACAGGATTTCCTCATCCCAGGGAGCCTGCCTCTTGCCCAGCACCCTCAGCTCAGCTGACCTCTCTCTTTTGAAAGTTGGCTCACATCTTCACCGATTGACGGCTCTCGACAACCTCTGGTGTGGTGATGCTCTTCAGGGCGAAAGGATCAGGAATTGCCCCAGAGGAAGTCAAGATAGAACGTGCTTGTTCCTGGGATCTGTGCCCCCGCATCGGAGGTGAGCTGTATCCAGGTAGGATGGGGATCTCCCCTCCCAGGTGGGAGTCCTGCTTCTGGTGGCCCCACCTTCTTTCCTCACAAGAGCTGTGTGATCCAAGGAAATAGGAACCTGGCTGGAGGGGGTAAATTCAAATAATCTCCAGCCCAGGTCCCAACTCTCTCTTGGCCTTCACCACCCCTGTACAACTTTTGTGGCTCCCAGACCAGCAGTATTAGCATCACTGGGGAACTTGATAGAAATGCCGATTTGGGGGCCCTTCTGAACCAGAGATGCTGGAGGTGGGGCCCAGACAGCTCTTGGGTTTTAACAAGCCCTCAAGGGGCTTGAAGCCCCTTGACGTCTAGAAGCCTCCATTACGCGGTAACCCGAGGGTTCTGAACAGATGCCAAGAAATCTCCAAGAACTCTAGAGACGTCAGCCTGGTCCACTCCAGGTTGTTCCTCGTGGCGCTTGGGGGCTTGCCACTCTGCTAAGTGCTGTAAAGGATGTGCTGCTGGACGAACCCCGGCATGGGATTTAGAAATAAAACTGAGACATGCATCCCAGCTCCCTCAGTTACTGTCCATGAGGCTTCACCTCCAGAGCCTTGGTTTTCTTCTCGGTTAAAAGGGGATTAATACCAAATTTACAGGGGGTCTTTGGAAATAAATAATATTCTTAATGAAAAGAACGGTGATAAAGGTAATTAACATTTCCCAGTTACTCAGTGAGGACCCATGATGAGTGCTTCATAGGTGCTGTCTTATTCAATCCGCAGAGCAACCTTGAGGCAGGTTTTAGGAATGAGTTCATTTTAGGATGGGGAAACTGAGTCTTAGAGGCTCATCATGTTGCCCATGGAGACTCAGTGGCCGAGCTAGAATTTAAACTCGTCTGAGTTCAAACTGAGGCTCCTGTATCAGTCTGCTATAATGCAGACCCGCCACCTGCCCTTAGCTTGCAGGCATATAATAAATACAAGAATTCACTTTCATCCCCGCTGCTGTCCTGGATTTGACTCGCTAATGAATACGTGACCAGGGCACGGGCAAATTCAAAGAGCTTCTGGAAACAGCTCTTTAACAGTCAGATGCCTTTTCTCGGAGCACTGTATTCTGACCAAGAAACCCGCGCCCTTATCCTTGTCGTGGAACCTGCGGGTCTGCAGCCAAACTACTTTGTCTCTGGTTTTCGTTAGGGTCTCGGGCCGCGTGGGATTCGCCCAAGTTTTCGCTTCCACCACGAGTGGGCACAGACCTATCCCACACCCGGCAAAGCAACCCTCCAAACTAGGTTCTCACCTGGGGTGCGCATTCTTCCGGCAGGACTCGGTCACGGAGCAGCGCGTCGACCGGGAGGCTTGTCGATTACCAGCGCTGCGAAGCTGGAGACGAGGGAGCGGGCGAACAAGGAGGAAGAGCTGCACATGCGCAGAAGGAGCTGCGAGGGATCCCGTTCCCTGGGCTCTGCTCCGGTCATCCATCAAATTTGGGACGACGCCGTTTCCCATAAGTCTCTGAGCCCCCTCAGGGAATGTCAGAAGAGCCCTTGCCTATTGGGTGAGATGGGTTATTTGTCCAAAATCATCTTTACTCTTGTTTAGAGCCCTGGTTCCTCCATGACCCCCTGGATTAGGCATCTGAACCCGGCTCCGCCTACAACCAGGGTCCCCTTAGACTCAAAGCTACCTTGAGAAATGTACCTTGAGTATGTCAACTGCACACATGAAAACAAGAATTTAACTAAAGTTCTAGAAAATAAAGCCCAGCAATATAGCAAAAGATTGATGCCCACCACCAGCAAGTCTCCCCCCAGGAATGCAACACCACCTCCGCTCAAAATGAGATTTCAGGGGCGCCTGGGTGGCTCAGTTGGTTAAACGTCTGACTTCGGCTCAGGTCATGATCTCATGGTTCATGGGTTCCAGCCCCGCGTCGGGCTCTGTGCTGACAGCTCAGAGCCTGGAGCTTGTTTTGGATTCTGTGTCTCCCTCTCTCTCTCCCCCTCCCCTGCTTGTGCTCCCTCTCTCCCCCTCTCTCTCTCTCAAAGGTAAATAAACATTAAGAAAATTAAAAAAGAGATTTCAAAATGCACTAAAATTGTAGATAAAACGGCAGATACACTAAAAGTCAAAGGAAGATTTGATCAAGGGCAGCCCTCATAATCTCCCCTCCCAGAGACGACCATGTTAGGCGACACCTTTGCTAAAACAGGACCCTAAGAGTTCAATGTGGTAGTTTGATATTTTCATTAAATGTGCGGTTAATAATTTTCTGGCCCTTTTAACCTTTTTATTTGGAAAAATTTCAAACTTACAGGAAGATTGCAGGAGTGATTCATTCTGCATGAACACCTGGAAACCATTTACTTAAATTCACCAATTGTTAACATTTGCACTTTCAATTTCTCTCTTCTCATCCTCCTCACTATTTGAGAGTAAGTTGCAAACATGAACTGTCACCCCTAAAACTTTAACCTATATTTCCTAAGAACAAGGGCATTCGTTTATGTAATACCAAAGATCAAATCCAAGGAATTGAACACTGAAATGTTACCTAATATGTAGACCATATTCACGTTACCCACTGTCTCAATAATCGCCTAACATTTTTTTTTCCTGATCCAGGATCCAATTCAGAATCATTCATTAGATCCATTTGTCGCACTGCCCAGACTCCTTTAATCTAGTTCCTCAGTCTTCCTCGGTCTTTCATGGCACTGTCAGTTTTCAAGCAGACAGACCAGTTGTTTTGAAGAATATTCCTTCATTTGGGTTTGTTTCCTCACAATTAGATTCAGGTTATACATTTCTTGGCAGAAATTCTACATAAGGGATGTTATGTTCTTAGTAAATCACATCAGATCAGTTTCATGTACATGATGTTAGTTCGTTCCAGTTTTGGTAATATCACCTTTGATCCCATGATTAAGATGGTGTGAAGGTCAATATACTCTTATATCAATTGTATCTCTTATGCCAATGATAGTAATAGGAAGTGAGATCCATTGACAGAGGCATTCAGTATCTAGCACTAGGTTAATAAGAATTTAGCTGCACTTGTGGTTAGCATAGCATAATGTGTTAACCTGTGGAATCACTGTGTTGTACACTTCAAACTAATATAGCATTGTGTGTCAACTATACTCAAATAAAAAAACCCCCAAGAATTTGGCAGAATTACACAAAAGAAACTATTACCTTCTACCATGTGACATTAATGATGTGACACATATTGTATTGTAAAGACACATATTGTTTTCCTAGATGGGAAAGCTCAACATTCTTTGATAAAAGTCCAGTCAAAATCTCAATAACTTGAGTGATGCGTTTTTCTTTCCTTTTCTTTCTTTCTTTCTTTCTTTCTTTCTTTCTTTCTTTCTTTCTTTCTTTCTTTCTTTTTCTTTCTTTCTTTCCCTGTCTTTCCTTCCTTCCATTCTTTTGTTCTTTGTTATTTTACTTAACAGAACACATCTAAATTTCATCTGGAACAAATAAACAAAAAAGCCCTGGGAAAAAAGCCAAGAATTGAGAAAAATTGTAGTATTTCCTATCAGACATGTATATGTATGATATAAATGTGATAGTCAAATGGTTGCCTCTGGCTTCTTAGAAGAGCAGGAACCCAAGAGCTCATAAGAATTGAGAGCAGGTAGAATTTCCAAGTTGGGCACTGTGGGAGGAGGGGACAAATGAGGCAGTCGAGAAATCATGTTAGGAAACTAGGGGCAGTGGGAGGAGAAGACAAGCTTATGTCTCTAGTACAGACACATTATAAGACATACATTTTGTATGGACTCTTAATTTGACATTTTAACAGGAAGCCACCAAGTACCTTGAGAAAATATAAAAGAACTTTCTCACTAATTTCTGGGCAGGGATGGCCAGCTGTCAGACTTGAAATGAGTGCTGAATTTTACTCTAGAAAAATTTGAAACCTTACTTTCAGGGAAAAAAATCAAGTAAAAACACACTTGGACAACACATTTGTTAAATATATGAAAGAAATGGTTTATGGACTTCATTTAATTATCTCTTACACATTTATAAGAAGATCGCACTACCATAAAAGTGATATATGGATATGAAGGGGAAAGTAATAAAAGGGAAAATGCAAATGAGGAATAAATATGTGAAAGCAGCCGATAAACTACAAATAAAAAATGCAAATGTTTAAATACATTTTTTGGCCTTTACAGTTGGCAAAGATTATAAAGAAAAAATGATATCCACGGTGGGCATAAGTTTGGGGAAATGTTCATTCTCATAAATTTCTATTTGGAATATAATTTATAGAACAATTTGGAAGCTACTCTGTACCAAGATTTAAAGAAGCATGTACTTTAATGTAGCAATTCTATTATTAGAGATACAACCTAAGGAAATAATTGTCTAAAGATACACATATAAGTACATTTCTTACGATTTATGTTAACAGCGCCACATTGTCAAAAATCTAAATCTAGGGGCGTTTGCGTGGCTTAGTCGGTTAAGCATCTGACTTTGGCTCAGGTCATGATCTCACGGTTTGTGAGTTTGAGCCCTGCATCTGTGCTGACAGCAGAGAGCCCTTTTTGGATCCTCTGTCTCCCTCTCCCTCTCTCTCTCTGAAAAATAAACATTAAAAGGGAATCTAAATCTTAAAAAAAACAAAAAACAAAAAAAAACAAAAAAAAAAAACAGGGGAAAAAAAGAAGAAAACGGGTTGTAGGAATCCATAAGGTGGGAAATATATCAGGTAACCATGAAAGTTCATAAGGCCAAGATATATAAACTGACATGGGGAGAATTTACAATATTTAAAAAATAATATACTTTTCAGAACACCTGGGTGGCTCAGTCGGTTAAGCATCTGACTTTGGCTCAGGTCATGATCTCGCAGTTTGTGAGTTCAAGGCCTGCATCAGGCTCTGTGCTGACAGCTCAGAGCCTGGAGCCTGCTTCGGATTCTGTGTCTCCCTCTCTCTCTGCCCCTCCCCTGCTCACACTCTTTCTGTCTCTCAAAAAATAGATAGATGCTAAAAATTTTTTAAAAATAATACGCATTTTACACAAAAATATAAGGTATTGGTCTTTTTTTGTATGAAAATCATAAATGGTGTAAGCACATAAAAGCAAATACAGGAACAAAATCGAACCAAAAAAATTTAAAATTACTTTATTTCATATGTAACAATGGAGCAGTCTATGCAAGGATTTTGTTCATAAGACCTGGAAAAATTCAAAGCCTGCATTATTCAATTCTCATATCCCCGTAGGAAGAGATGTAGAATAGGAAGAAAACATTCTCAGGGAGCATAAATTCGCACCCACCGTGGAATGTATCTGCTTTAATACTGCCTCGTTTTATTTTCTCGGCATTAGCTCTGATGTTGTATTGAGCGTTCTCCGCTAAATTAACTGCACAGTGCATTATGGTGTTTGTTTAAGTGTCTTTGTAGTATATTGTAACATCTAATTTTCACTTCAAAGTAATTGGTCTTCATGCATTTTTAAGCCCCCTAAGAGCACTACCATTTAATGAATATTTGGATGAGACTGGTATAGTAATTAAAATATTTAAAATTTTAATAACGGTGAATGTTAAAATAACTGCCAAAGTAACAAAATCACTCAAAATATCCTAAAGCATTAGTAACAGTGTACTTATTCAAGGACATTAACAATCCTGAGCTTGATTGTTAAATGGGTGAATTTTAGTTTATTTGCTAAAATGACATAGCCAAATCTCAGTAACATAAACAAAACTCACAATTAGCGCTCTTTACTGCTTACAATTTATGTGGTTCCTTACAATTTTGGAAACTCCAAAAGGCTTGTATTATATTGAAATTTGTACCTAATATGAAGCATTAGTATACTTGCTGTTGGTTTCTTATAAACATCCATTATCAATCATATTTAGGAAACCTCCTTCCTTCCTAGTTTGCTAAGGATCTTTGAAATTATGAATTTAAAAAATTATGACTAGACTGAATTTTAACAAATGCACTTTCCATATTATTGCTATGACCTTTATGTTGCTAATATATTTTTGTTTCACTGATTAATTTTTAGAGTTGAACAAATACTGTATTCCTGGACTAAATTCAGCTTGATCATGAAATCTCACCTTTTAAAAATATTGCTTTTTTTTTTTTATCTAAGTGAGATAATGGATATTAACTAAATTCACTGTGGTAACCATTTCATAAAATGTGAGAGTCAAGTCAGGGTCCTTCACTGGCTCAGTCAGTGGAATGTATGACTCTTGTGAATTTGAGCCCTATATTGGGTGTAAAGATTACTTAAAAAAAATAAAATCTTAAAAAAAAAAGTCAAGTCATGCTTTACATCTTAAAAAAAATTTTCTTAACATTTATTCATTTTTTGAGAGACAGAGAGCACAAGCAGGGGAGAGGCAGAGAGAGGGGGAGACACAGAATCCATAGCAGGCTTCACACTCTGAGCTGTCAGCACAGAGCCCGACACGGGGCTCGAACCCATTAACCGTGAGATCACGACCTGAGCTGAAGTCGGATGCTTAACCGACTGAGTCACCAAGCTATGCTGTACATCTTAAACTTACACAGTACCGTATGTCAGTACAGTATCTCAACAGATACTCAGTACCGTATGTCAGTACAGTATCTCAACAGAACTGGAAATTATATCTCAATAGAACTGGAAGAAATATTGTCCAATTTGCTAATATTTTTTTTTGAATTCTTCTACTTCATGAATGAGATTGACTTTTAATGTTTCATTCTTATAATATCCTTAATTTGGTTT